AATTTAGCATCTTTAGAGGCCGAATTAAAATCCAAAAAGGCAATATGTTATCTCTGTTGGTGTTATGACGAGATGGATAACAAATAGACGGGGACAATGTAATCTGGACCAATATCCGCCGCTGAAGGGCTACGTTGCTTCAAGACATTGATTCACATATTATTATCTGGGTGATAATTCTTTGAAAGTCATTTGGGAAATGACTGGTTAGTCTATGTGACTGTTATTCTGAAATTAGTGATAAGAGAGAGGTATTTATTATGTGTGTGTATATGTGAGTGAATTTGTTAGTGTTTTAGTGAGTTAATGAGTGTGTTTGAGTGTGAATACAGTAGATTAGTGTTTGAATTTGTTAGTGTGTGTGTTTTAAGAGTCTGTATTTGTTGGTGCAAGTGCATTAATGTGTGTTCTCGTGTGGGTATATTAACAAATGATTGTGTTAGCGACAAACTGGATTAGTTCCTCAGTGTATTACCGTGTGTGTGATAGTCTAAACCTGCAAGTCTGGAATCGCTCCAGCGCCTCAATGGCTTTACCGATATTGGAGAAAGTTATGATCTGCTCTGACATAACATTTGCTAGTGCTAATTAATTCTTTTTAGCATATCGGGCGAGTGTTGAAACACAGTTTACTGAATTACAAATTTAATATTTTTTCATGATGTTTAATCCAAACGGAAGACTATTTTTGTTTGTTTAAAATTGTATTGATTTAAATTCGTATTTTAAGTATATTTTGGGATGATTCTCCAAACCAATACGTCTTTTTTTGGACGTGATGATCTCCAACGTACAAAGTACTATGAAAACAATAGGTGAGGTGGTTTGGTTTGTCCGTTTCTAGCTAAGTTAGCACTTTGTATTTCGTACGTTGTGGCAAATCCAGAGAAAGTTGTGGCTTGAAAACCTTCACAGATTGATTAGCTGGGAACAAGGGCACTGGGACGTTCATGATGCATTGTCTCCCATCAATATGCGTTAGAATGACAAGCTGAGAGAATTCAAATGCAGATACTGAGCTTTACCTGGTATTATTTGAGTATTATCTTAGCAATCATGAACAATACTGACTTCTCATTCAGTTAAAATACCAGGTATTAAGAATTAATTAGGATTATTAGAACTAATTAGAAGCTTCAGTTGAAATGTTGTATACGGAGAGAGTTTGTATTCAGTATTTGCTCTAAGGACTTTTAATTTCCCTGCTTGACCGTTCTAACGCCTGAAATTGAGATCAGTAACCGAGCCTTATTTACAGTCATTGACCTGGTAGGCTCCGGAATAGAATTTAATAAGCTACCGTCATTTTAACAGCTCAGGGACCCAGAGACCCGGATTTTAATTATATGTTGTAGCCCCATGTTGGTCGATAAATCCTGTTCTAGCGAACTGTTACCTTCTGACAGTGTACGTAGGTTCATGGGAGCCCCCTACTTATTTCCCCAACTCCCTGATGGTACAAGACACACGTGAAATGTGTCAATTGGTACCGGAGTGAAGGTACTAGTGAGAGAAAGAGTTAAAAGCCCTTATATACCCACTACGGGCTCACCATAGCCCGTGCTACTTGGAACTTTTTGTTCCAGGTAGCGAATCTTCAAACAAACAAACAAACAAACCAACACACTTCACAAATACTGATACAAGCAAGAACATTGCTGAAGAATGCCAGACATAACGATCTTCTAATGTCCCGAAAACCCTCCAGGAAAATAAAATCAATAATATCCTTTGTAACAATTAGCCAGCTGAACCCTAGACACAAATAATGTTTACTGGCACCACAATGTACTTTACTCGTTTCCTTACTAAGTAATAAAATACGCCCAAGGGGGAAAAATGACTGGTATATATCTTCAGGAAGCTGATCATGGGCTAGTTTCATTACTTACTACGGCTCTATTAGGCCATAAACACTAATAGAGGAGAGCTCTTTACTGCGCCTCTCACCGGAAAGTTTGTCGCCCGGTACTGGGTTATTTAGCCCGGTGGTCCAGACACTACTTACACACATGATGAGGCGGGAGAAATGGTTCGTTTGTGTGTGTGTGTGTGTGTGTGTGTGTGTGTGTGTGTGTGTGTGTGTGTGTGTGTATGAGTGTATGTGAGGGTCCATCAAGGAATATCAGACAACAATTCTTGAATGACTGTATTTATTTACTGTATTGTAACGTGCTTCAATAACCAGTATTTGCGCCCCACTGGAAGGCAGATTCAATTTTTTTTTCTAAAGGCAGAAGAGAATTTGTTATATATTTTTTTTGCAGCGTGCAGCTCCACAATGAGACATATGTAACACACACAGTCTGCGAATTATGTAAAATGGGAAGGTAGCTTTGAATTCCTGACAAAGTTCTGGATGTCAATGTAAATTTTACTCTCCTATTTCCACTGTTTAATACAATAAAATTTGAGCCGGTGTGTCGATTTTAGGAAACACACACACACAATATATATATATATATATATATATATATATATATATATATATATATATATATATATATATATATATATATATATATATATATATAACCCTGAAGCATTTCCATCCTCAGAGAATGTGTCCTGCCACTACCTTCACAAACTAAGAGGAAACTACACACAGAGATCACACTAACGTGATGTATCAAATGCTCCCGGACGCAGATTCGAATCCTCGTCACGGCCCTTGTGGATTTGTTCAAGAGGAAACTACTTTCATATACGAAGCAGACTCTTCCCAACCAATGTCCTAAGCCTCCCTCAAGCCTGTCTCCATGGTCATGATCTGACCCCAGATTCACGTAGCAATTACGCAAGTACTCACGAACCTGTACATCTTTTCTCAATCTTTGGCGGCTTTGTTTACAATTATTAGACAGTTAATGAGCTCCGAAGCACCAGAAGGCTGTCTATAACAATAACAACAGTTGATTGGGAAGTTTTCATGCTTGTAAACTGTTTAATAAATGTAACCGAAAGCCGTCAAAGATTGAGAAAAGATGTACACGTTCGTAAGCGTAACTGCTTCATGAATCTGGCGCCATGGTCATGATGAAGGTTCTTGTGCGCTCTCAGGGGTAAAGTGAGAATGCAATCACAAGCGACCTGACCCAGAACCTATTGCAACATCTGGCGTGGTCATAATGTCCTCCAGGTGCAATCGTTAATTGATATTGGGATTATTTTCATTTCTCTGTCCTCCACCATCACTTTGATTTTGAATACATTCCATTTTATTCGTTTTCTTTCACACACAAACAACATATTCAGGTAATATATTTACACATCATTTTTCATTCGAACTGCTGCATTTTTCATTTATTCAGTTCATTCCTATCTTGAGATATTGAGGTTATCTTGAGAGGATTTCGGGGCTTTAGTGTCCCCGCGGCCCAGTCCTCGACCAGGCCTCCACCCCTAGGACGCAGCCCGTGACAGCTGACTAACACCCAGGTACCTATTTTACTGCTAGGTAACAGGGGCATAGGGTGAAAGAAACTCTGTCCACTGTTTCACGCCGACGCCCGGGATCGAACCCAGGACCACAGGATCACAAGTTCAGTGTGCTGTCCGCTTGGCCGACCGGCTCCCGACACACCTATAACACATTCAATTCAGATATATTTCTAGCATGAGATGTTCCATATATACTAACCTACCAAGTGGATATTGAGCTCTGTAGAACCCATACATTATTATTTGTCACTCATAACTCAATTAACACTTGCAATTATCTTACCTACTGAATGGTAAGTTTTTTCTACCTTTAGCAACATTCCATAAACTCCATTTATCCTTAACACTATTCAGTGACCACTTTATTTTCACATTTCACAAGACCATACAAGCGAAGTTGTTCTCAAAACCGTTTTTTAATGGCAATCTCAGAGCAAATGTCAGAGCCACGCTTCGACTGGTCCTGCTTTTAATCACAGACCAAATTCTCAGTTATTTTTCAGGACATGGCCAATCCTTATCACACAATACAACTTCTCCACATCTCTCTGGGGACAAATATCCCTATAATTCTTACTCTCACAGCGTTCATTCATATATTATTTCAATGGCACTATAATGGCTCTTGTCTAACCATTTGGCACAGTACCATTTTCTCAACCATTTAGGGCAAAGTCTACAATTCTATTGCATTTATGTTTATCTGTTGTATGTTTTTATTTTCGTGTATATACCTCACACACACATCTGCTTTCACAAGTCAGCTTCTACATTGATGCACTGAGCTCTTATATTGTTATATTTGTGTATGCGTTGAGGCCTTATGTTTTCTCACAGCAGCAAAACTAATCACACAGTCAAAATATTAAATTCTATGCAGACGAGGAGTCACAATAACGTAGCTGAAATATGTTGACCAAACCACACACTAGAAAGTGAAGGGACGACGACGTTTCTCAAGTCGGTTGGGAGACGTCGTCGTCCCTTCACTTTCTAGTGTGTGGTTTGGTCAACATTAAATTCTATGTTAGTTAATATTCTTCCATGCGTCCCTAATATTACCCTCTCGCCTGTTCCAATATTCTTGGTGCAATATTTAACTGTTGATAAAATTTCTTCCATTTTTGCTCTAATTCTCTTTACCTGATATTCATTATTTTTTTTGTACTTTTAACTGTTCCTTTTTACTCTTTAATTTCATATGCTTCTTGTCTCTTCATGACTATTCTTATAATATATTTTTCTTGTTACCAAGCACTTCTTATATCCCTGTTTGTATACCCAACCACTTGGGCTGGACGGTAGAGCTACGGTAGAGCTTCATGCAGGTCGGCGTTCAATCGCAGGGCGTCCAAGTGGTTGGGCACCATTCCTTTCCCCCGTCCCATCCCCAGGTGGCAGGAGAGGATGGTGGCAGGAGAGGATGGTGGCAGGAGAGGATGGTGGCAGCAGGTGGTGGTGGCAGCAGGGGGTGGTGGCAGAAGGGGGTGGTGGCAGCAGGGGGTGGTGGCAGACACCCTGGAGCGTGACACTGTGGGTCTGGAAGCCGCGCCAACATCAGTTCACCTCAACCAGCCCGCGGTGGAGGAGGGACGCTCTCTGCTCGCTCCTCACGAACCTTCCCTCGCGTGCGTGTGTATGTGCGTGTGCGTGTGTTTGCGTGTGGGGCCGCACGCACTTGTACGGCTATCAAAATCACTTCTCGTATCGCTGTTGTCCACGAAGTGGAATGTCGGGAGTCTTCAAGAACTCATTTTTCCCTTTAAATGTCAATTTGTCTGGGTTACGAATATGATAAAAAACTAAATTGTTTCCATGTTCAGTGCGATATTTTTGTTAATTATTTTAGCATCAATGACTAAAGTCTTGTTTTCCTAAACAATATCAAGAGAACTTTAATGTGATTTCCTTTATAATAGCAGAGGAAAAAACTGGATATACATGTAATAAATGAACTCAAGCAATAGGAATTGAACACTTCGCCAAAAATGCAGCTATAGTTCTGCGTGGGAACTGAAATGCAGGTTACAGTGTCAGTGGGAGCTGGGGTGAGGGTTACAGTTACTCATTGAGCTCGATTTTAGGGTCCAGTACCAATGAGAAATACAGACAACTCCGCCAGTCATGGCTAGATTGCAATCTTCAGTGTCTGCAATAACTTGATTCGACTGTACTGTTGAAACTGAAACTGAAACGAAGAAGCGCTTCTCCAATTTAAAAGTTAGTAAAGTTTTGCGCAATGTGAAAGAGTTGGAGAGTGGAAATTGGTAAAGAGAAATTTGGGTAAGAGATAATTAGCGTGAAACTAAGATTCAAAGAAGTTGGTGAGACAAACCTAAAATGCAGCGAACTTTAAGGGATTTCAATTTAAGGGACTATAGACAGTTGCCTTAAGTCCCTTAAAACTACTGTGACTCGAAATTTTGGGTAAACATATTAAGGAGTACTTTCCACCATGTGTGAAAAGTAAGTGTCTCTCGATCAAAGCTCCCAACATATATAATGCAAACTGGAAACAGAGAACTGTGATTATCAGAAACAAACTCTGTGATTATCAGAATGAAACATAGTTCATTCTGCCTTCCAAAAATAGAACGACAAAATACGAACTGAAGGCACAAGAGAATCAAAGAGCACTCATTTCCCTAATGACAGAGAACTCGACCTCCACTCCTCAACCCCGTGAAAAGCCTGAATCAACAAACGATGGTAAATGGAAACAGATCGAAACCAGAACAAAAAAACAGCCTACCCTTCTCTGGAACCCCCGCCCCCCACCTCACTGTTCGGTTCTTTTAATTGAGAATATGGCAGTCAAAGGCTCCTGTCATAAGCCTCGTCAACCAGCTGTTCGCCTCTTCAGTGCTCACGGTACAGAAAGGTTGTGATCAACGACCCATTTCACCATATTGCTGTTATTAGTTATAACTCTGATGGTTGTAGGGGAAAGAGCAGTTGTTGTTGTTCGGGTGAATGTGTGATGGTGGGGAGTTGTGTTGTGACGATATGGTTGTTGGAGGTAAATGATGGTAATGTGGCTGGTTGGGGGTGGTTGTTTTGGTGGTAATAATGTTTGTTGAGTTTCAGTTGTAATATTGGTGAGATTGTTGTTGAAGTAATAGTGGTAGTTGGATTGGTATGTAATGGTGGTTGTCTGGTGGTGGTCGTCGTGTGTTTGTTGATCCTGTGTTAATGGCAGTGGGGATTATTTTGAAGGAGGTAACATTAGTAGTGATTGTGTTGTGGTGGTAGTGGTGGTGGGTTTGTTGAAGCTGCGGTAATGTTGGTGGGTTTGTTGAAGCTGGAGTAATGTTGGTGGGTTTGTCGAAGCTGCGGTAATGGTGGTGGGTTGGTTGAAGCTGCCATAATGGTGGTGAGTTTCAAGCTGTGGCAAGGCAATTTCTTCCTGAAGTAATAGTGAATTTCGCCAATGTTGTGAGAATGGCAAGTGTGGGGGAGCGTGGGGTTGTGGAATCATCTTAGACTCTCCATGGACTCTCCTTATAAGACCCTTCCCACTTTGTTTACCCATTCCCTCGCCCACTGATCCTGACTCAAACGTCTCAGAACATCCCATTTCTTAATTGGGATTTGTTGAGGCAGAGACAAGTATTGTATTCTTTCATTTAATACAATCCAAATAGTCTAAACTTTTGCCAGTATTAAGTCTGATGTTCTGAAGTATGGGTTCCTCTTAATAATAGAATTAATAAAAATAATATTTGTATTAATATTTACACGTTACGAATTAAAGAAATGATTGAGACAGAGATAAATAAGGGGAGAAAGTAATAGGTAATTTCCTAACATGTTGGTTCACACCAGGGGGGGTTAAAGGGGGGAAAGTGGGTTCCAACATAGGCATAGATGTGGTGTTTGTGTTTCCCCAAATTAAACTGAGTGGTAATGAGTATCGTTGGACTGAATGTAACTTGCAAACAGTGGGTCCTTGATTGGATTCCACTGGTGTGTGAAGAGGCGAGTATATGGGTGCATGTGGGTGGTGGTTGGGTAAATGAGTGTGTGTGATAATTAAGTGTCTCTGAGATGGGTGAGTGTGGTTTGGTGGGTGAGTGAGAGGACCTGAAAATGGGTTGGTGGGTGAGTGAGAGGACCTGAAAATGGGTTGGTGGGTGAGTGAGAGGACCTCAAAACGGGTTGGTGGGTGAGTGAGGGGGACCTGAAAATGGGTTGGTGGGTGAGTGAGGAGACCTGAAAATGGGTTGGTGTATGACAGGGATTGGTTAAGAAAAAGGTGTGAAATGAGTTGATTAAAAGGAGTTTGAAATAGGCAAGTAAGCAGATTTGCTTACAATTGAATGAGTGCATAGATGTGTAATGAAGGTTGAAAGAGTGTTGTTTGGGACTCTGGATGGAATGGATAGTGGATGGATGACACGATCAGTCGAAAGACAAGTTACTGGACAAGCATGTGAATTAGTAGGTGGTTTCACAGACAGGTAGATAGATGACGTCATTAATGTATAGGGTTGATGTGTCAACTGCTGAGAATCTCAACAAACCCTGTACCTACGATTAGCAAAAACATTAAAATATAATTATTTTAAACTAGTTATCTCTCAATAAACTCCAACCATAAGTTTCCCACTGTGTTAAGCTTTCTAAACACTTAAATTATAAGCGTGAGAGGAGTAAGGCTTTTGGCCTCTTCGCTTCCAGCTTGTTGAACGGAAATTTATGAATCTCAAATATAATTTTAGTGCAAAATTTATGGCTTCCTAAATCATATACATTACTCGTGAAACGAGTCTGTGTTGGGGAAATTGTTAGTTTATTTGCCTTATTGCAACAGTTGTGAGTTGCGGTCTGTAGTCAGAGATGAATGAGAGGTTCATAGCAATAAAAAAAATTGAAAATTTAAAGAAATTAATAATAAATAGATAAAAGTAAAATATATTGCTATATTTTGGTAGCAGTCTTTCTTGTAAACATATGTTGATTAATGTAAACGAAAGGGTAAGATTAATGATTCTAACTCGTATCTCCTCAATATATCTTATGTTTTTCTTCACTGTCGAAGGAAGTTGAAAAATTAACTCTCCAAAGTTCATTTCTTATCAACGGAGCAACTGAGTCTCTGAAATCCGCCTTTATTGTTACTTATTCAGTAGCTCGGATGATAGAGCGACCGTTTCCCGTCTTGGCAGTCAGTGGTTCGAGACTCCTAATACCCAAATGAACGATATTAAATATTATTATCCATATTTATAGTGTTATCTGGGGTATGTGCCTAACATGTTTAGGTCCTGTATTGCCTAAGTGAATCGAGTTCAACTTACCATGGTGCGAATTAGAACGAAATTAACAATTCTTGGAATATCATAATACAACACTCAGGATATTTTGGGTATTAGCTAAAATATGGGAAGCGGTGGTGGTGGTGGGGGTAAATAGTAGCTGGTTGAGAGATTCCTTACCAATGGGTAAAGTAATCCATTGCATAGAGGAGACTTAAAACTGCTCGGTGTTAGTAGATAGGTGGATGAGGGGCAACTCCGGCCTCTCAGGGTGAGAATGTTACGTGAAGTGCTACTAGCTGGAAGTGGTTTGGAGAGAGAGAGAGAAAGAGAGAGAGAGAGAGAGAGGATGGGGGTTTAAAGGAAAGATGAGAGACAAAGAGGTAGAAAGATATAGAGAAGGAAAAGAGGAATGAGAGAGAAATGGAAACAGGCAGACAGGCATGAGATTTGTCATATATCCCTTATAGTATCTATATCTACAAAACAGAATGTTTCTCTCTGCCTGTTCGAGGGTGGAAGCCAGACACTTGAGGTTAGCCTCACTCAGCTTTACCCACTCGTTCCTGTGGGACACGTATGAAACACGGTTGGCATGGGGTCTAGCTTAAGTGAAACAAGTTCCACTTGACATATTGCCAACTGTCAACCCCTCGACGATTTTGAGAATATCATATTAAATGGACTCTGTTTTTCTTTTCACTATATCAAATATTATGCACTGGTGTCTACAAATTCCAGAAATCACATTATCATACTTTGCCTCTAATGACCTATTTATGATACCAGACTCCCTCCCCTCCCCCCCCTCAACTCCATTACCCGCCTACTTGCTGCCTCAAGAGTGTCAATCTTCCCTGCCAAGCCCTGAGACACACGCATCACCCCCCCCCCCCCCTCTCCCCAACCCTTCATCTCCTAAGTGTTAGTCCTCTACTTCTGTGCTGCTTCACAAAGGGAAGGGGGGAGGAGAGGGTGTAATGGGCAGAGAGGGGAATTGAGAGAGACGCACAAAGAGAGGGAAGGAAGAGGGGTATGGGGGAGAGATAGACAGAAAACACAGGGGTAGAGACAGAGGACAGAGAGGCTCAGTAGACCCGGGAACAGCTGGGTATATTATTGAGTTGGATCACTCTCTTAGTTATATTGGACATACTTGCTATATTCAAACGAATTAATCATCCCAAAATTTGCCTATTATATTGTATAACATATTTAATATAGGCAAAACAACGGTTGGCATTCTGCTGTCTGGCTGTCTCTTGTTTTCATTTACTTGTACACCTTTGAGTGTGGATAGCACAGGGTTTCTGCTTCTTCTTTTATTACCCACGGTAATAAGATACTGTCTCGTTCAACAGCCACTGTCCTGCCCAAT